TTTTGACTTATTTTTTTTAAAAAAATTGATTTATCTTTTACTTTTGAAATTTGTCTACACAATATAGGGTTCTTTTAGGATGTGGGTTAACTTTTTAATTTTTTAGTTATTTTAGCTTGGGGTTAAAAGTCTCGTTTGAGATAAATTTTTTAACTTTTTCAGACTTTTGTGAGAGAAAAAATGAAACAATTATGAGTTCAATGTAACATTTTGTCATATTTAGCTAAAATAGTCTATTTTATCCTAGGGAAAATCGGTTTAAGGTCCCTATCCAACTTTTAGTAATGGATTAGGTCCACAATGTGTTCTTTTGTAGCTTAAGGTCCCTCAATGTTATTTTAGAGTGTAAAATACCTGTCTTACCCTTGTTTATAATATACGTTGTTTTGAATTTGGCAGCTAAAGATCATATTGATATTTTGTGGGAGATTACGTTCCCAAACCCCCCACTATCGAGCTAGGGATTAACTTAATTTTCTGTTAGTTATATAAATAAAAATTATTATAAATTACACTCTTTTTTTTGTAAGGTTTAAAAAAATATAATTAGTTTCACATTTTTTATATGATTCCACTGACCTTACTTTTTTATAAGGCTAAAGTGGTCGAAATTAATGCATATGGTAAATTAGTATTGAAATAAATAAAAATAAATATACATTTTAATATAATAGAGATGACAACGTAATTTTTTTGATTCATACAATTACATAATTATTAATGAAAAAGGGCTTAATGTTATGTGAATTAAAATATTAAGAGAGACCAATATAATTATATTAGAAGTTTGAAATTAATTGTGTTTTCTCGAATCTTAGGGGAGGTGAGTGTAATTTACCTTACAACTTAACATTGTTATTTTTATATTAAAATGTATATTTTATCTTGTTTATATTTGTCTTTTCATACAATCTGTATTAGTTTTTATTCATTTAACTTCACTAAAATGAAGGTGGGTGTAACTACATTAATACTATCATATTTACCTTTTTTTTCAAATCTTACAAGAGATCAATGTAATTTACTAAATTTAAAAAAATAAAAATAAAAACAACATAGTGTAGGTCATATAAAAATATATAAATTTAATTCATACATAATAAATTTTGACACTTTTCTAAATATTTTTTGAATAGTATTATTGGACAAATTAAGAACCCATCAAATTATAATGACGAAGGAGAGAGAAAGTTGAGTTCCGACTCAACCCCACTCGAAACACAACTCAAGTGAGTTTTCAATCAAAACAGCATGTATAATTTTATTTATATTTATATTGTAATTTAAAAAATATGAAATAAGAAAGATAATAAGAAATATTTTACTTCTTAATTTTAACCCTTTTATATGTAATTTTAAATCCTTGTAAGTTGTAATTAGTCCAAATTTACAATTCGGTGCAAAAGGACCAGCATAATAATTTAGAATTAATTATCTAAAAGTTCAATTTATAAATATTATGGTTAGCAATGAGCAGTGGATATATCGATCTGTCCAAACCAACCGAACCGAATCGAACTGATATGCCACATTTTTTCCGGATGTGTGATGATGAGTGGGCAGTTGCGGATTGATTTTTTCCCATCCGCCTAATTTTTGACGGATGGCGGATTTGAGATTCTTTTGGCCGCAATCAAACCACCAACCGCCAAATCGTGAGAAACCCTAGTAATTTGAAAGATTTTGTATTTTTAATTTGTTTAGATATTTTATTTGTGTTTTCAATTCAAAAAGAGTTTAAATATTCTATTGAATACATTCTGTTGAAAAAGAGTTTTCAACTTAAATATATTTTTTAAATTGAAAAAAATAAATGTGTTATTTATCTATATTTTTTGGTTTTTAAATATAACTTTAAAAATAATAAATATATGCTGGTTGGTTTTTGTTTTAAAAAATAAATATAGATGTAACAATACAGACGCATACAATTTCTACTACTGCTCTGTTCATGGTTTTGGTGATTTGAATTGTTTTTATATTTTAAAAATTGTAATACTTTATGTGGATAAGGCATGTTGTGATTGTAATATGTGGAAGATGCATGTAGTGATTGTCATATTCTAAAGTTTCAAACTTTTTTTCTTTGCATGAGGCATGCAGTGATTGTAACACTTTTTTAAGACATTAACTATAATATATATATATATTTTAGGAAGTACACAAATTGAATTATATTAAAAATTTATAAAATTTTATATCGCCAAACAGATTCGCATCTATCCGTCAATCCGCTCAATCCATATTTGCCAGATTGGCGGACGGATGCGGATTGATTTTTTTCAATCCGCCAATTTGGCTGACGGATTAGAGATTTCGTGGCCGCAACCGACCCGCACCCACCCCTAGTTATGGTAGTTCTAATCCTATTTAAACTATTTTGAACTAATAAGTCTTATTTAATAAACTGAAAATATTATCAGGTTTTTTCTAAATTTTTAAAAGTAAGAACATTATCAATTTTGCATAATAATCTTCAAGATAATTTTTCACTAATTGATGAAAAAAACAGAGTATGAAATTAAATATTTTTGACATTCTACTTATTGGTTTGATTCAACTATCCAATAAAAAAGAGAACATTACTGTTTTTTACAGTTTTTAAACTGAGAACATTATCAGTTTTTTTTTTTTTAATTTTGCATATAAATGTTCCATCATCATACTCCTTTATTGATACAAAATTTTTAGTTTTGCATAAAAAATAATTCAGTTTTTTTTAATTTAAAAAAAACATTATTTTTTTTGTTTGCACATATTTTTTTTTTAGTTTTTTCAATTTGAAAATTGATATTTTAAAGTTTTGAAAATCAAAATAATTGTCAAATCATCGTGTTCCTTTATAAATAATTATAAATGATGAACAATCCTTATTTGAAGGGTAATTTCAACTATTAAAAATTTAATAGGACTTCAAAATCGAAAAAATCTTAATTAAGATTTAACGCAGTATAAGTTCATAAATTAAAACTCGTGAATAAATGCCCCAGTAATTTAAAGGGACAAAGTGAAATTTTCACATAATCTGAGGGGCAAAGTGAAATTTTCTTAACGTAACAGGAAGCGTTACAAAACTCGATCAGCTTTCAAATTGGAGAACTTTGCTTGTTCGTATTATCAAACTGAGTCAACTCGGACAAATGGAATTGAGTCAAAATCTCATATAGATATATCGGTGGTATTACATGTATCAATTAATGTACATATTAATGTATAATTAGTGTTATATCATTATTACTAACTCCACTTATTATACAAATTACAAATACTTAAAATTTTTAAAATCATACTATATTATCCGTTAGTATACTAACTAATATATTAATTAATACATATATCATTATTCATTGTTATATAGTGATAGAACTTTTGGGTTGCATTTGACAATATTAATAAAATGTATAGGCTTTGTTTGGCTTAATTTTTTTAAACTAATTTTGAAACAGATTTTTAGTTTTTTTTAATTATATTTTAATCATTTTATTTACTTTTTAAATGCACTTAATTTAGATACATCTAAAATAATAAATTAACTAGATATGATTTTTTTTACTAAAAACAAATGAAAATTCAAATAAAAATATGTGTGTATTTTTATTTGAGTTTTCTTATGTTTTTTGTTTTTTTTTTAAAAAAAAAAACTTTTTAGAAAAACTAAATTTTGTTGACTAAATTATAAAATTTCACCAAAGGCAAACAAAAAAATATCTAAAACTAAAAGTAATTTTTTTTTTTAAAGTACTGAAAGAAAATCTTTATTGCAAAACTAATAAATTGAATCAATATAGTAAAACAGTATCATAAAATAATTTGGCTTCTCTCAAGTTGTCATCTCAATTTGAGAGAGTATTTGGACTTGGTGGACTTATTTTGAAATTAATTCCGATGATTTAAACTGTTCACTTTTTTAAACTCGTTGAGTAGAATATTCATGCAAAAAATAATATGATTGGACATCATTAACTATATTTGAATCATATTTGTTTTTAAAAAATTGACGATAAATGTAATTTCAAGAACAACTATCAATTTTTTATAATATAAATTTGATTCAAACATATAGTTACAAATGTCCGATCATTTTAAGTTTTTGTATGATTATTCTACTCAATAAATATTAAAAAGTGAACGATTTAAATTACCAAAATAAAACTTCTAATAAGCTCCACGTATCTTTCAAATTCTTTCATATTGAGATTTACAAGACAAGTCGAAAGAGGAAAATCTCAAAAAGCGATGAGAGCGGTTTATAATAGAGGCTTTTCCCAATATAAGCCTTTTTTACATTGTATTTTCAAAACTAGGCCAACTTCTGACGGAATTCCAAAACTAAGCTAAAGCGCCATTACTATTCGCGCTTTTACTGTTAGGAGGCCAAAAGTTGATGAATAGTGAAATCGCTATTTGAAATCGCGATTTTAATTATGGGAAAAGCCTCGTTTATAATATCAAACTGAGTCAACTCGGACAAATGGAATTGAGTCGAACTTTCACAGTGATTGAGAGCCCTTTTGGGTTTGCTCGCATTTCCCAAAAACATTAATCAAATAAGAGTTTTGGTGGGTTTGTTTCATTTCATCAAATAATAGTTTGGGGTTTTGGTGGGTTTGTTTCATTTCAGCTTCTAAAAAGGGTGGACTTTTATTGCTCCTCTCGGATTATGCTTGTGGATTCCCTCTTCATTCAGACGTGCTCTCCTCCTCTTCTTTTTCTTCTTCAATCATTCATCTCTCTCTCTCTCTCTCTCTGTACTACACACGTCTTTGCACTTTCTGGCCTTATCATTCTCAAACATGCCTCCAAAACCATAGTTGTCGTCTTCTCCTTCTTTAGTCAAAATCTCATTACCAAACTACTTTAGTCTCTTTCCATTCAATCGCCCTATTTATCTCTCCTTTTCCCCTTCTTTCTCATATGGGTTGATCAATTTTGAATTGGGTACTAGTGACTCTCTCGACACCTTTTTTTAATTTAAAAAAAACATTCCCCAAAAAAAAAAAAAAAAAAACCCAGGTTAGTCTCTTTGCATTTCATTGTTTGGTTTCTGAGAAAGTGCTTAAAAATGGGTTTTTTAATCCTCCATTCACAAGGTTTCATTTTTCATTTTTCTGGGTTCTTGAATTTCTTGGCAACCAAATGGGGGGTTTTGTGAAATACACAGCTTTTTGACGTTTTTAAGGATTGAATGTTAAGTTTTTGATATGGGAATATTCTTCTTTTCCCTTTTTTTGTTTTGTTTTGTTTTGTCTGTGTGTTATGATAAACAATTAATTAATCTTTGTTTGAATACCTCCTTTTGAATATGAATCGGAATCATATCTTAGTTCGAACTTGTAATTTAAGGCTGTCTCTATCTCTGGCATTTCCTTTTGATTTTCTCAGTGCTGATTGGGGTTCCTGTTTTGTAATTAAAGATTGAATTATAGCGCAACATTTAGGCATAGAATCAGAACTAGAATGTCATCTAATTTGTTTTTGTTTTTGTTTTTAGTCCTTTTCGTTCCCTTGAGTTTGATTTTGGATGGGTTTTGCTTTTATTCACAATTTTTTGTAGTAGGATAGACAATTCTTGATGCAAAATTTTCCTTCATGGAGACAATGATTTCCTCTGTTTCACCGGCAATCCCTCGAGGCCCGGCAAATTTTGATGAGGTTTCTATGCATCAGAGCTTGCTCTTTTCTGACAGTCTGAAGGTAATTTCTGTTATCTATTTGCACTCTGTTTGGATTGAGGGGTTTGGTGAGAAAAGAAAAGAAATGGTGATAATGAGGTTTCTCATCACTTGTTTAGATGATTAATGAGGTGAGTGATGGTGAGAAAGACAAATCCTCCTAGTGCTTTTGTTTGCACATTAGGGACCTTTTTAATTTTTTTTTCTTCTTTTAGTGCTTCCTTCAGTTCGGAGGAATTTATGGGTGTTTTTACAATCTAACTTAGCGATTTTTTTGAAGTATCCAAAATGAGAATTTCAGTTGCTGTATTTAGGACAAATTTTTCGGGTCAATTTTGAGTATATTAGCTTTATTCTGTCTGTAAAGGAAAGTGCCTTGGTGGATTGCATTGAACATATGAGGTAAATTATTTAATTGATATATCAAAGAAGTGCTTGCAGCTTGGAAATGAATTCAAAATGATGAAAGCACTTAGCTCTTTGTGTTTTGAAGTAGTCGAGAAACTTGTACATTCATTTTCTTCAATCCCTTTATGCTCCGATCACTCTCAACTTTGCGATTAATAACTACGCATACACGCATTTAGTATCTACAATTCCAGTTTTTCAGCAAATACATTGTGTGGCCTGTGTTTTTTTAATTGAGGCTAGCGATTATCCAAAGAAAAACATGGTTTTGAAACTATCTATTGTATTTGTTTCTTTAGGATTTGAAGAATTTGAGAACACAGCTGTACTCAGCTGCCGAGTATTTTGAACTTTCATACACCAATGACGACCAAAAACAGATGTGAGTTACTCCGATTCATTAGAGCTCTCTTGTTTACTGAAGAGGAGATTGATATTATCTAATTTATTTTCTTTTGGTTTGTCAAATATTTCTATTTCTACACATACAGAGTAGTGGATACATTGAAAGATTATGCCATTAAAGCCCTCGTGAATACAGTGGATCATTTGGGTTCTGTTACATATAAGGTTAATAATCTCGTGGATGAAAAAGTTGATGAAGTTTCTGGAACAGAGCTTCGGGTATCTTGTATAGAACAGGTATTCTAATCTTCTTTATTATAAAGGATTCGACGGTTATAGTGTTTAGTTCGAAGAATTACTTATTGATGAAATTTATGGTTGAGAGTTTGGAAAAGTTACGGAAAGAATATGGCCATCATTAAGTCACAGATCCTATTTGTCTACCTTAAATCTCTTATAAGCTTAACAAACATTACTGGATCAAAACTTTTTATATAAACTTGGAATTATGAATCCTTAAAATAGTAAATCTTAAAACTAGGAAATTTTAAGGTTATTGAAGGATCTACAGTTCCTCAGTTAACTAGTGAAAGATGATGTGGATTGCTTCACTTCTCCTACTATCTACTTTAGATACAGTAATGGTTACTTTAAATTTGAAAAATGATGTTTCAAAAGTTTTGCATCTGCCGTGCTAGATAGGATAATTGAAAGTTCCTAAGAATGATCATAGGCTTACTTGTTTTGGTAATAGATGCTGAACATGGGGGAAAAAAGAGGGGCAAATTCTGGAATTTTACGTGGAGCAGGATTGTGTATAATTATGTTTAGGGTCAATTTGAGTGTTGCTTTTATGTATTTTATAGATTAGAAAGCTGTCAAACAAATTTTATGGCTTTTTATTCATAGGTTTTAGGTGGTGATTTTAAGGGCATTTTGTTAAGTTGGCAAATTGGTGGCATAGACTCTGGTGGTTGTCAATGGGTCAAAATTTGTTTTTGGGTCTTATATGAAACATTTATTTGATCTAGAATATTCTAATTAATTAAATCTTTTTTCGTTTACTAATTTTTTATTTATAATCTTTGTACAGTTAGGAGAAGTCTAACAACCTAAAAATATGCATATAATATTTTGTTTTATCGGAGTTGAGTTTAGGGAATTGTGTGAAGCTTTTATGGCTTTGTGTAACTAGTTCTAGGTGTGATTTCTGTTTTTTTTTCTTTCTTCTACTTATTCTCTCTCATTACTATTATTCCTGGTTTAATGTTCACAGGTCCCAAAAAGGGCCCATTTCAGTCCCAAAAGCCTACCCGATCATGCACAAATCAACGTTAAGCCCTTCCTATTGATCGTTACTTTAACCTTTAAAACTCGAAAATTGTTCATGTCCAAGCCTTCTAATTGCACCATATTTGAAAAATTCTACTACCCTACAACTTTCGGAAATTGAACTAAAACTTTCATAAACCCTAGAAACCTTCTTATACCATTTAGAACCTCAACCTTAGAATCCATTCCATAATCCCTATTGCATGTAGCCTTACATCTTAGTTTCCTAATCTGTCTTGCATCAATTTGGTATGAGGGGTGATTTGCTGTTTTAACCGACACCATATTTACCAATGCGGAGCTTTCATCAAAATGCATGCTCAAAACAAACATGAAGCTAAAATCACAAGTTTGAAGCAAAATATGATTTCCATAGAGAATATTCTTGACAAAAGATTTGACTGTTTGGAGAATAAAATTCAATCAAAAGTTAAGTTGATATTGATGCCATCCTTTATCAAAGTCAATGGAGGGATTATAAATAGTAAAATGCATGAAGATTCAAACTTTGTAATTCAATTGCCCACTTCTTTTTCATCCTATTGAAATTCATATTATTATTATTATAGACTGGTGAGAGGATGTTAAAACCTTTACCCTGGAATCCATTCCTACCCTGAACCTGTCACAAATCCTATTGTGGGTAGTCTTAGGCCTTATACTTTCCTAATATATTTTTCATCAGTAAGAGCCAATTTTTCAGGGAGTACTTAGGCCGTGTTTGGATCAAGTATTTGAGAGGGATTTGTGGAGGGAAAGGAAAAGGGAAGAGAGAAGTGAAAAAAAAAAGAGAAAAGCTTCTATTTCGTTCACTTTCCCTCCACAAATCCCTCCTTATTTAACTGACAAAAGGATTAGTTGGAGACAAATGGCTGTTGCAGACACTCGCACTGCATCCATGAATCGCCTGCAGATCAGCTTTATATTTAAGGATATCTTAATGTAATAGTTGTTCATACATGATCTTAGGTTAGATGGGATACGACTGTAAAATACATTAAGGAGTTGTTTGAGATGTTCTAAATAAGTGCACATTTTGACTTTTTATGAAATATGAGTTGGGTATGAATTGGGTTTGAAGTGATGTGGTAGAGAGGTGATGTGATTTAAATAAGATGATGTGACTTAAATAGGATAGTGATTTTTAACTTTTTGACTTTTTTAGGGGATGATAAACAAGGCCTAAATGTAAGCATGGAGAAACCACAAACAAAACACAGAGATTCATAAGGTTTCAAGTTAATACTTTCCTGTGGCCAAAATGGTAGGAGAGAAACAAAAAAAAAAAAAAAAAGCTTCTATTTCATTCACTTTCCCTCCACAAATCCCTCCTTATTTAACTGACAAAAGGATTAGTTGGAGACAAATGGCTGTTGCAGACACTCGCACTGCATCCATGAATTGCCTGCAGATCAGCTTTATATTTAAGGATATCTTAATGTAATAGTTGTTCATACATGATCTTAGGTTAGATGGGATACAACTGTAAAATACATTAAGGGGTTGTTTGGGATGTTCTAAATAAGTGTACATTTTGACTTTTTATGAAATATGAGTTGGGTATGAATTGGGTTTGAAGTGATGTGGTAGAGAGGTGATGTGATTTAAATAAGATGATGCGACTTAAATAGGATAGTGATTTTTAACTTTTTGACTTTTTTAGGGGATGATAAACAAGGCCTAACTGTAAGCATGGAGAAACCACAAACAAAACACAGAGATTCATAAGGTTTCAAGTTAATACTTTCCTGTGGCCAAAATGGTAGGAGAGAAACTTAATGCAAATTTGCCCAAAACTCTCCTAGATTGAATGCCAGTTTCAGCAAGGCAAAATTACCTTCTTGTTTTGTTTTGGGGACTCGCTGATTCAAATGTATGGCATAAGTTAGTCACTCGAACTTACCACAAATAAGTTAGTTATGCGAGACTTGAGATGCAACTTTGGCTGGCAGGTAGCTTCCTCTTTTTGCTTTTGCATTATATATTTATTAAAATTGACTGGTTTATTTATTTATTGATCGGTTACAAAAGAAATTTATTTATTAAAAAAGTGAACAAATACAAGAAGAGGGGTACAAGAAATACACTGAAATCAAGTGAAAAGAAAAAGATGAATCCTCACTCTACAAATAGTACTCCAGTCTCTTGAAATTAAAAAATGGGAATCCTTCAAAAGAAAGGGGTCTCCGAAATCCAAAAAGAAGCCAAACAACAAATTTTCTCCCGAACGCTCTCAACAGCTTTACTCTTTTCCTAAAAAATCATAGCATTCCTTTTTAGTCATAAACCCAAAGAATCGCACAAACAACTCATCTCCAAAGATCTTGAGCCTTGACATTTCGACCAAGTCTTATAAAATCAATGCATAAAATATTCTCAAAAGAGGGTGGAATAACACAATCCTCCTTTGCCAAATGAAAAACTCTCCACCATAAATGTCGAGTCAAAGGACAATGCAAAAGTAAAAGATCTATACTTTCCTTTTTTTCCCTCTCCCTACACATAACACACCATTGCAGGGACAGATACCATCTCGGCCTTCTCTATGGAACCAAATCACTTGTAGTATGAGCCGATGCCATGGAAGTATTTTTCTTTAACCTTAAGAGGCACACAGGCATTCTAAATCATCTTATGAGGAGGAAAAAATTGTACACTTATTAGATTGAATCAACTAGTATGGTTGCCCACTATGCTTTTTGCTTTGAAGAGAAGGAATCGAGATTAATGCAGAATATTGACCCTCTTCATTCCTTTGACATGGTATCTTAGAGAATACGGACATGCCAGGAGAACATTGATCGTGAAGGCCTTTCCCAGCAGTCGCTAGTGATAAACACTCCCAAGTACCACAAGCGATACATCTTGCCAGGCAATTACTCTTATCTTATCCCATTCATTTTTTCCCTCTTTTTCATGGAAGTTATTTATTCTGTTGGAGTTTTGGAGTTGAAGATGTTTGATTGTTCACAGATTCACACATTTCAAGCTCAGTTGGGGAGACCATGCAAGGCACTAATTCAAGTTATCAAGGGTTTAGTCTGGACGATGAGGACAACTGGAATCAGTTTAGGCACGGTACCACGTTCTTTCATTTGCTATTTTGACTCAAATTGTACTTCATTGATCATGGTTTTGCTGTAATTTCCTCACATTTATAGTTGCTTTTTGTTTTTTGTTTTTCCCCTCTCTGAAGTTGTTCGGCCTACAATTAGAGAGACCCCATCATCCTCTGGCAGGTAAATTCCAATGTTACATTTTGCTTGCGCATGTCATGTAATATCCCCTCTTTGGCTTTATTTCATAATCTTCTTTGAAAAAATAGAAATTAGTTTGACAAAAATAAACACCAAAACGATATTTTTGAGTTTCAAAACCTATTTCCGCCCCAAAAAAGAGAACCGTATGAAAATGATGAATGCTTTTTATTTTTTTCATTTTTTCACCAAACTAGTTATTAGTTTTTTTTTTTTTGAAAATTTTATAGAAAACATATTCTGAAAGCGAAATTAAAACTATTACCTGGATCATTAGAACTTTAGTTTTATGCCATGCAGGAAAGGGCGATCCCCATCACCTTCTCCAGGACCCTTGCAACGATCTGGAACCTTCTTGTTCACTAGCAGCATGCCAAAAACAGAACTAGGTTTGTACATTTCAAGTTAGGATCTTAGGCTCTGTTTGGATATGGATGGATTTTAAATGGAGTTGAGGTTGGATTTTATAAAAGACATAAGAGATTGAGCTATTATCTTTATAGGACTAGAAAGTTTTCAAATAATTACTTTCACGTTATTTTAAATTCATCATGACAAAGCTCTCAAATTCAATCTTGATGTTTCATTGGCAAAACTAATGAATCAGAAAGGAGGACAGTTTCACCTCATCGATTTCCTCTGCGACGTTCTGGATCTGTCTCTAGTCGGCCAACCACCCCAAATCGAAGATCGACCACCCCAAATCCAACTCGGCCAACCACTCCCACCCCTCCTGCTGGAAGACAGCGGGTAAGCACCGGAAACTTATGTTTCTTTATTCATTCTCTTGTTAAAATTGAATGTTTGATCTTTCAATAGAACAACCCATCTATCTTTCTAATACATTTATGTTTGTTCTGTTTAAATTCATATTATCTATATATATACCTGTTTTTTGGATTCTTAAATATCATTTCATCTGTACCAGTATGCTTCAGAGCCTCGGAAATCGGTTTCAATGCGCCTCCGTCCTGAAAAAGAAAAGGAGAAGGAAAATTCCAAAGAGATAGACCAATACCCGAGTAAAAGTAAACGTCTGCTCAGGGCCTTGCTCAGCCGGCGCAAGTCCAAGAAAGATGATGTGCTCTATACATACTTAGATGAATACTGAGAGAAATACAGCCCTATTTCCGTAGGCATTTGTGCCATCATGTAACTTTTCATGATTTTTTGGGCTGTCCTTTTTCGTAATTATTCAGCAGTGATGTAATTTATCATTCACATAATAATTTTAAGTTGGTTGATATATATCATTTTATTAGGTTCTATGGAAGGTTGATTAGTGTCTCAGTACTTGGAACTAAAATTCTTTCCCAATGATGGCTTCAATGCCTATAATTTGAGAGATAACATGACGCCTTCTCTCGAATTCAAAGATGTGACACAAACAATGACTCTTTGCTGGAATTTAGAAACAGTTTCTGAATATTGGAATTGTAATTTACTTCGATTTTCCATCCACATTATTGGTCTCATTTTGTTTTTGGGGTGGATTGAGAAATTTAGTGAGAAAAGAAAACAATGGAAAGGAAAAGAAATATTTTTACTTGTTTGTGGATGATAGGAGAAATAAACAAACTAAAGGGAGAGAAGCGTGCTAAATATATTTGTAATATCTAAATTATCACTTTAAACTTGAAGCAAAGAAAATGAACATAATTATTTCCTTTTATTTTCTTTTCTCACACAACCAAGTTCAAAAAGAAAAAGGGAAAAAAAAGGAAAAATTCCAAAAAGACAAGAAAAAAAAACACGAAAGGTAGAATAACACAACGCTCGCTGTTGGTGTGCTTATTGCTCACGAGGAAAGAAAGTGCAACAAGCTTCAGTTCATGTTCGACTGCTTGGAGCATGGGGGCGGATACATACAAAATCAACAGGAAAAAAAAAATCATGATAATACATAACTGTTATGACATCACATATGTTGTCCCAGCAAAAGTTAGAAAACGACCAAAACAGCTGCAGATTTCTTTAAAAACAAAATGGTTGTAGATTAATCGAGTATAATTAGGGTCCGCCCTTGTAACAAAATAAAATTAATGGTATCCAAAGAGGACATGAACCAAGAATTCAAGCTACAGCCAAAAACTTAGGAAGTACAGAGCTCTATGGAAAGTCATAATTCCATTCCTTCACTGAATTCTTCAATGGTTTTTGTGGCAAGCGAAAGAACGTCTACAAAAGCACTAAATGATGCACGAAGAAATCTTGCTTCAACCGCTTCAAAATGCCTGCGCAATATGAGGATGAAAATGATAAAAAAGAAAAATAAAGAAACATAATGTAAAACATGTCACGAACTTTTGAGCTGTTCAAGGGTTTTTCTTTCGAACCATCCAAGAGAATCCAATGGATAAGTAGATAATAAACTAGGGTGTAATTTTTCAAAAGAGATTCATAAAACCAATCTTTGATGAGGTCAAGGAACTTACACAGAAAGCTTTCCATTAGACACCGACATCTGCCTTTTCACTTTGTCTGGTTGCAACTGCAATTGAATATAAAATTTAGCAAAAATCTAATTGAAGAATCAAGAACTATTAAAGGAGCAAAGATGGTAGGAGTGGGAGCATCATGAAACAACACCTCCTTATCAACAGCTAATGCCGAGTAGACAATGTGTGCATTTTCATCAGACTCATAATCTACTTCAAAATCACTGCCAAAAAAATAATAATAATAACGTCAGTCAAAGAAAAAGAAGCAAACATTGATCTTCAGAAAGAAAATTCCAAAGATTGAAAACTAAACATCATCCCTTATTCCCATATACCCTCCAAATTACCAGTCTATTTATTTATTTATTTTGTTGATAAATTGAGAAGTATTATTAAAGAAAAAGCATCAAACCAATGCTAAAAAATACAACCAATGCACCAAACTCAAAAAAATAACAAAACGAAACTTAGCCCTGCAGAGTATCCAAAAATCAATGAAGGAAAACACATCAGGATCCACTTTACCAGAGACTCAACTATACAAAACCACCAAAAGATGATTTTTCAGACGTGACACAGGCGCTGCCACCCATTAAATATTCATTCTTAAATCGTTATTCTTTTCTTTTTTTCCTGAGTATCAATAACCTTTCCAAATGTTGTTATGACCTTTGCCTATATTATAATGTACAGCTATGGAGAGAAGATGTTGATTCGTCATAATGCTTTCTCCATACTTTTTAAAAGGACTCAAATGAAGCATGAATGGACTGATAACCCTAAAACTGGGTAACTACTGACCTGAGTTTAGTACTAGTAGCTTGAGAAGTGGTGAAGGAGTACATTCTATCATGTCTCTACAACTTGGTTTCAAATAAAAAACATGAGAAGAAATTGGGTATTTCTGTTATTCATCACATAGCAAACATTGTGTCAAAGCAAGTGCAGCTTCTCGTGATGAACAAATAGGTAGAACACTACTTTATTCATCTTTTACTTCAAGTTTCTGAGTCATATAGTTAATAACACGTAGTTTGGGAAAAGGGGAAATAGTGGAAATAATGCGTTTGGAAACTTGAAGTTCAAAGAGGTTGAAGTGAGCTTAAACACTTGTTATTACAACAAATCTAATATCGTTGGGAGGATAAAGAGAATCCAACGTAAAGTGGCCTGCAAAAAGTTGTTCAATATAGGGGTTTATTGCTCTAAATTTAAACCATTGCAAGTTTAAGTCTAATTTTTTGCAAGAAAATGTCTCGTCTTTTTAAAAAAATTATAACAAGAAATTTAGAAAATAATCAAATCTCTGAAATGAATTTGGCTTAAATTATGAATTGAATTAGCTTCCAAGATAATTGATTAGAGTCATTAGACTTACAAAATTTGTCATTATATTTACAAAATCTTTAAACCTATATTGTTCTTCAAATAACGCTACAGACAATTTTCACATATTCTAGAGTTCTACTGTCTAACTGAAAATCAACAGAAAACACTAAATAATCATGGTTGTATTTTTTATTGTATAAATGTTAGCTTAGGTCAATTGGCTTAAAAGCTGCTATGTGTTGCAAATTCATAAAACTCGACTAACTAACCTTGAGGTTTTGTGATCAAACCTAAGGGCGATCACTTTGTGCAAATTATGTCAAATGTTAGGTTTATACCCAATCTACCTCCCCCATCAAATGGGGACTAAACTGGGTACGAAATCATAATAACATCAACTGAATCACAAATTTCAACATCAAAATCATAGGATTATAACTCTACTCAGCAATTTAAGCAGTTCTCTTCACGATTGCTTAAATAGAGAAACAAACACAACTGGGAGCTCATATATGCTTTAAATGTAGTAATAGAGTAAAACATACATATGCAGGTATGTATATGTAGTAAGAGGAAAAAGAAAATGCCTAAACAGAAACAGATGAGCAGAATATAAGAAGTTAACACGAGGAATTTCATAAATGAAACGGAAACAATATGGAGATTTAATTGGGTAATTAAAACAAGAAAAAAAAATGATTAACCAACTAAAATCAATGAAATTAAACTTGGCTTATAAACCAGAATCTTATCACACACAGAAAAAGAGAAAATCCCATCATAATGAAACAAACCAACATAAACCCAGTAAAACCTACACAGACAAATAGAAAGCAAGAGTGTAACCAGCTGAATCTAAAAAGTTAACATAAGGAATTTCATAAATGAAATGGAAACAATATGAACATTTAATTGGGTAATTAAAACAGGACAAAACAGATTAACCAACTTAAATCAATGAAATTGTGTTGGATTATAAACCATAATCTTGATTACTTACACAAAGAGGAACAAAAAATCCCACCATAATGAAACAAAACAATATAACCCAGTAAAATCTACACACACATGTAGAGAGAGTATAACCAGCTGAATCTGAGAAGTTAACACTAGGAATTTCATAAATGAAATGGAAACAATATGGGCATTTAATTGGGTAATTAAAACAGGACAAAAAACAGATTAACCAACCTAAAATCAATGAAATTATATCTATACCTTGATTACACACAGACAAATAAAAAATCCCACCATTATGAAACAAAACAACATAAACCCAGTAAAACATACGCACATAGGAGAATATAGAGAGTGTGCAATCTAAGAAGTTAACATGAGGAATTCAATAAATGAAATGGAAACAATATGAACATTTAATTGGGTAAATAAAACAGGAAAAAAACAGACTAACCAACTAAAAATAATGAAATTATATCTGTATCTTGTTTACACACAGAAAAATAGAAAATCCACCATAATGAAACAAAACAACATAAACCCAGTAAAACCCTACACAGAATATATATATATATATATATATAAACATGTATAAATGTAGATACACAAATATAGATATATAGATATATAAAGAGAGAATAACCAGGTGAATTCCCAGTGAGAGGGAAGAGTTTTGCAATCTCCTGTAATGTTGGAAGCAACAGTGTCCATCTTCTCTACCTTCCCAAACCAACCCACCAAAAAAAAATAATAATAAAACTATGTAGAAAAATTAGGGCAACACCAGGAACGAACGAGTTGTGAACGATGCAACTCGGTTCCGATTCGGCCGAGTATAGGATTAGGGGAAAACGACCCATGTTTGGTGATGCTTAAGGTTAATATATATTTTATTATTATTTTTTAATTTTTAAAATTTGTGTAAAAATATATTATGTAATTTTTTTTTATATTATAAAAAAAACCTCAAATAAAAGTTGATTATAGAAAAGTTAGTGTGATTAGAATTAATGCAAGTGAAGCTTACAAACAGGAGTAAACAAGGTTAAAATATATATTTTAGTGTAAAAAATATATTAGAATTATTTTTTTAATTGAGATGACTAATAAATTTTTAATAAAAATGAGACATAGAGAATTAAAATTTTAAAAGAGTTCAAAACAATTACGCTAAATTGTAAGATTCAATGCATTTTATTTATTTTTTAAATATCCAAATAACCCAATAAAAAATGTTAATAACTCTTAATAAATTACACATTTTTTTTATCAGCGAAAATCAATTATTAATTATTAAATTAATACTTAGAAAAATTAATCTTTCTATTCTTATAAAATATCAAATACTTACCTTCTAATTCAACTTTTTCATAAAAAGAATATGACCCCATAACTTTTCTTTGGAAACTAAAAAGGTGTGTTTGGTTGGACGGACTGGATAAGGGGATTAGAATCGATCGAACTTGAATCCTGGGATTGTGAATTTCCCGAACTATTTGGTTCGATTGGATATGTATCCTGTGTTTATATTCTCACGAGATTAGATGTACTATTTTTAGTAAATCTAATGTTTGGTTGGACGGACTGAATAAGATAAATGAAAAAAAGACTATTTTACCCTTTTTCAATTATTTACTAAGTAATAACAATATTAAACATATCTTTAATATTTTAATTATTTTTAGCTAGATTAAATAAAAATTTATTTTATTTTATTTTTTACACAATTAAATAAATTTATTTTTTAAAAATTAAATAAATAAAATATCAATAAAAATATATGTTATTTTTTAATTAAAATTTAATAAAATAATGAAATTAAATAAAACATCTATTAAAATTTAAATAATGAAATTAAATAAAATATAAACAAAATTTTAAAATAAAACATCAATAAAATATCTATAAAAAAATTATTTTTAAAAAATTAAATAAATAAAACATTAATAAAAAGTTAAATAAAATTATTTTATTTTTAAATTGAGACATTTAAATTTTATTAAATTTTATTAAATATAATACATAATTAAATAGTAGATGGTCAAAATGGTGATTTTATCACCTAATCCTAACAGTAAATAGTTCCTCCAAAATTGTCCCACACCTCCCCTGGGATAGTATAATCTCCCATATGGGCGATAAGAAGTCTGGCAGACTAAAAAAAAATAAACAAGGACTACTTACTCCTTCAGATAAGCAATCCGAACAGTGAATAATCCCCCCTTAATCCTCCCAATCAAACACACCCAGAGAGTTATGATGGTGTCGGTTGAATAAACTGCACACTTACCAATCAATTTATTGAAAGGGCTGGGCTTCTTCCCGATCTGTGATCAAATTGATGGGTATTATTGGGTCTATGGGAGCCTATTATAGATTTTGTTTTGATAATTCGAACTGTTCAATGTGTAAAACTTGTCGAGTATTATATATTTGTAAAAAATCATATTGATCGAATATAGATAGCTATCTCATTGGATCAGATTTCTGTCAACCATTTATTTTTTTACCATCCATTTTTTTAATACAAAATTAATTTGATCATGTAGCTATCGATATCTGATCAACGTGATTTTTTACAAACATATAGTACTCGACGAGATCTACATATTAAATGGTTCAAATTATCGAAACGGGATCCGTAGTGAGCCTCCACAAACTTAACAATACTCTCTAATCCGATCACAAATTGGAAGGAAGCCAATCCCTTATTGAAATTTGGTAGAAGGATTCAAATAAGACAAAATTTTAAATTGGTTAAAAATAAATTTAATTTAAAATGAAAGGTTATCATTATTTTAATTAAATAAAATTAATATTTTGTATTGTTAGATGTGTGAATAAAAAGTTGAACTTTAAAATTGTTATCTGTTGCAGAAAATATAATCTATATAGAGTACTAACGTGGTGTTTCAATTTTATGGATTTAGATAGGGGGGGATAAAAAAATTTATTTTATATTTTATTCATATTATTCTTACGTTATATTTTATTCATATTATTCTTACGTTTTAATTTTTTTTATTTAAATTCATAATTCAAATACAATTTTTAAGAATTTAACTGAATGAGAACTTATTATTCCGTCACTAGATCATAAGTTTAAAAAGAAAAAATGAAGTAAATGCAACTTATAAGTTAATTTTTTTGTTGATTCTATTTCTCTTTCCTTTTCCTTTTTGAATTTTTTATTCAAATTAATAATTCAAACAAAAGACAAATTTCGAACTGTAAATCCTATATGCCATTTAGTTTAGACATTGTTTGGTAAGTGATTTTTTTAGTCAAAAAATTAAACAGTCATTAAAAAAATTAAAAAGTCAACAATTCATACTAGAAAGTCAAAAATTTTCATTTTCTCTCTATTTTTTGTATATCTTTTAGTAAAAAGTCAAAAAATTATTCCAAATATATTAATTTTTTTTACATCATATTTTAATCAAAAAATTACTAAAAAAAGTAAACGAGGCCTAAATCCTCCTCCAAACAAACGGAACACAAATGATGTCAATTGAATTGTAAGTTTCATTGAATTTGCAAATTTTGAGACTTGAGAGAAATTAAAAAATTGTGAAAAGACAAATTAAGATTAATTACTTGTTTGGCTGTTACCGTATTGTAAGGGTTATATTGCTTGGTTGGTTAAAATTCCCTTGGGGAGTGGGGTTTGCGTAAGCACATTTTAGTATATTCCTCTCGCATATTACTCATTTCATTCATTCCCCCTTCTTCCATATTCTTCTTCATACCTTCAATTCCCCATCTCTTTTTCCTCTAACCACTTCTTCTTCTTGTTCTCTCTCTTTCTCACACAAAACAAGTATTTAGTTCGTATTATTTGATATCAGAGCCAATCATTATGTCGGGAATCAGATGTAACATGAAGAGAAAGGACTATTGTTAGGTCAGTATTGATGGAGTGGTCATTGTGGATGCCAGTTGCAAGAGAGCATAGTATAGTCGGTTTTTAAGGTGAGTTCTAGCCTAGTTGGTATCCAACTCTCTCTCTCTCACTCACTCTCTCTCTGTTTGTTTGTCTTATGTTATGCTTTTAGGTTTATGTCATGTTTTGGCTGCAACATAGGTGGTTCTGTTTAGCATATCAAATGAAAGAATGAACAAACAAATAATAATGAATATAGTTTCAATTACATGAAGACCCTAATAAAATATCACAGTATAATTTTGATATAAGTTATAAAATTATATTATTTTCATCTATAAAAAAAATATTTGTACAATTTTTATAGTTGAGAGAAGTAATATATACGGATTCATAGATGAAAGCTATTAGATGTTTATTATGTGTAATTGACCCATTAATATATTTAATATCATCTGCTTTTGATAATTTTTTAGCCGCACTGACAGTCCAAACCAGAATTTGTCGATTGGGCCACCGTAATCAAATCTGGTATGTAACTAACTATGATCTGTGGTGTGGTGTTTTATTTGTAATTATTACCAACAATCTGTTTTACTAATTTTTTGTAATTGTGACTTGATACCCCAATTCTATATATTTGTATATGGTTTGCAACATTTTGTGCTCATAGTAAAATCGAACATTTTGTGATCATAGTAAAATCAAACAACCATGAACGTAATTAGTTTTAGTGAAGTACATAAATTTTATGTTCGTTTATGTGCGTATAATTACTATTTTTGATTATTTTCTCTTTTTCAATTTTTTTTTGTTTCACTGTTCCGAATTATGAATTCCTAACAATTCTCAGGGTAAGCGTAGGGCGTGTTTGGTGTGCCAAAAAGTGGCACTTGACTTTTGAGAGGCAACTAAGTGGAAACAGCTTTTGTTTGTTAGTTAAGATTCAAACCCAAGACATAACATGACCCTACCTTGTTTATCACATAGGTTAGGCAAGGGTACAATAGGTAGTTCACCTTGTTCATCATGCAAAAATGAAAAATAACTAACATCACTCTTACACTTTCAACACCAAAAGCCCAATCACCTTAAAAACTTTGGATTAAATTAAATTTGTCACCTCTATAAACCATTCAAGAGCTTTGGGAGATGTTTAGTACAACACATCATTACATAGAATACAATTATTTTTTCTGTACTTCAGAAGCATAAAATTTGTTGAGCAAATTGAAATCTTTTCAAAATCCAAAGATAAATAAGTTCACTTCGGGAAAAAAATAAATTTTGTTGGCTCGGAAAGAAGAGTCCGCCTTGATATCGGTTGTTTAATCTCCTTCGTCACCTGAATTGCATCCTCAAATAGTCTCCTTCCATATCAATTGTGTATGTTATTTGACAGATTTCAGCTGCGGTAATGTTACAAGCGCACCACTTATATCTTGAAAGAGCACCAGGGCGACAATCTAAAACACATCCCCTGCGAAGAGAAGGGACGCAAGCAGTTAGGTCTCCTTGTTCTTGTTTGGTTATGTTTTTTTGTTTCCATTTTTCATGTTTTCGAGAACAACCACCTTATCATTTTTGAATTTTCAAAAAAGTGGATTGTTTTCAGAAACTTTTTCCAAAAAAAAGTTCATCAAACAATGTTTTTTGGAAATAGAAAACAGAAAACATGAAAACACAACCAAATATGTCCTCTAACAGGAGTAACTAGAATGCTGGAGTTGGAAAAGCATGAGAAATCGGCTTACCAGTATAAAAAAGAAGTTTTGCAGATTATATAGAACATGTTAGGGCAGGTCCAACTTTGACTGGTTTTAGACTTTTTAAACCTCGTCGTAAATACTCAAACGCCAACACAAAGAGGCTGAAGAAGTATAATACAAAAACATGTAGCTTCTCTAAAATGTAAATCATGAAAGATAATTTGCTTCCTCCTTCAAAATTTGGTTTGAATGATATTACTGCAGACCCTGAAAAAACACAATACATATTAGGAAATCAAAATTTTTAGGAAATGCTCATAAAACAGAGCATGCGATTATATATATGCAGAGAAGTAGAATTCAATAGATATATGCAGTTTCTTTTTCGATCACTATTAAAACTCATTGTAGAATAGCCAAACATCCACACTTCTGAGGGTAAGGTAATGGCTGAGCAGGGTTGTACCCTCAAACACCCTTTTCTGGTTGCCATGCCATCTCATCTCTCTACCCCTCACCCGAGAGAGAGAGAGAATTGAAAATAAAGCTTAAGAAGCCTCAAAGTAGAGCCTTTTAGGCAATTTAGGTGAAATGACATATAATGCTTACCAGAGTTTTTCTTGTGTATATTTGTCCAGTCATATGGGTTCATCTTTTTTTCCGATGCCTGGATCAATTCAACAAGAGCTTGATTGACCTGAAATTTGGCAATGAAATCAATGTATTGGTAATCAATCACAAGCTAATCTAGTCAAACATTGCCTGCAAACTCAACTGCACAAAGTGCAAGTGAGGAGGGGTAATGACAATCGCAAGTTTAAAATGTCAACAAAGTGGGCACGTCATATACAACTACCAGAAAACAAGAAATAATTGAAACATAATTTGAAAAAAAAAGAAGCTCTGGGTTGTTGAGTGCTTTGATAGTAGAAAAATGTAGAACTTGATGCTAATGCTTGCATTGCAAATTCATTTCAATCCGTGAGTGTTACTCATTTTTAGCTAGTTAAATTGTAAGTTCTCAAGCCACAAATTTTACAGCTGCAACTTGGCCACAATGTATCATGCTTGCACTCTATGCATCAAGTCTTCAATTTGACCCCATCATAACATATGATAAAAACTTTCAAGTGTGCATGTGTGCCCCAAAAATTAAATTTATGGAGTGATGGATGTCATGATAGTGACAATGCCATGGGAAATTCATATGTAATCAGCATAATCTCATGATTAAAGAATTTTAAAGTTGACAGTTGGCTTTATTTGTCATTTCACTTATTAAAACAATACATGAATATTTCTATTTGCTTTTTTTTTTTTTTTTGGTCCATTTGCAAGTCTCCAAGCTAATTGCTAATTGTAAGGCATGTTTCTCATTAATTAGAAATTTTACACGATCCATGAGTGTATGGTATTTAACAGCCCATCTCATTCAGTTTTTGATGTCTGAATTGTAAAAATATTTAGCAGGCAGATATATTTGAAAGTAAACTTTGCATTTGAGAGCATAGCCCTTGTCAAGCATAGTAGGTTAACTTTATTTACAGAAATTGGATACATAAAAGAATTTTGAAAAGATTGTACCACCTTGAAGAATTCTGAGGAATAATTCATTTATAATAGGGCCTAATCCTGGTATTTTAGTTATTTGTTGATCATTTGCAAACTTCCTGTATTTCTTGTCTTGAAACCTATGATGCATTGAAACTTCAAAACGGGTTCTGTGTTGGACACACCACATGTCAAATTTTTTAATTATTATCTTTTCGTAGGAAATTTTGGGGACTCGTCGGACATGACACACAGTGTATCAATTTTTTTAATCATTCTCTTTTTGTAGGACATTTTGGGGACACTTGACAGACATGTGTCTTGTAATTGGACACAACTCAAGACACCTTTGTGAGTATCTTTTTTATAATTTTGGAAAGTTGATTTGGGATCATAGTAAAATATATGAAAGCAAAGAGGGAGGAAAGTGGAAAAAAAACCCACATATACATAGATGCCTCTTATATCACTGTGCCCTAAAGTTATATTCATATACATAGCAAAAAAAGAAAATCCTGCATCCCTGCCGTGTCTGTATCCTAAGTTTTTCAAAAAATCATTGTGTCCTATGTCTGTACTTGTGTTCATGTCCATAATTTTTAGCTTGAAACCATGCTATGTTTTAATCAAATTCATTACCAAAGTCGTTCTTTTTTTCAACATACTCTTGATGTATTGCCTACTATGACCCAGACCCTGCAATATTTAAGTTGGTCCTGAATTCAGAGTTGCCACCAACCAATTGTTTTTAATGACCAACTTCATCATATTTAAATCCATCACAAAAAGATTAGATACCTCTTCAGTCCTCTCATGACTCACTAGATGCCCTCCATGTAGTTCTACCATTCGAGCAACAGGGTTCAGCTTCTCAGCAAGTTTTCTTGCATAGTACAATTGAGCAATTATATCATGCCTATTCATTCAGAAAAAATCTGGTTAGAGCAGGAATATTCCCGAAAAGTGATCTTAAAAATAAATAAATAAATAAATAAAAGGGAAAGAAGAAGAAGAAGAAGAAGAAGAAGAAGAAGAGGAGAATTGAGTAATGCTTCTGAGCTGAGAAAATACCTGCCATGGATGACTGATATTAGAAATCCCGCAGAGCAGATTAATTCAAGTTCTTTTCTTGACATTTTATGCATCCAACATGCATTAATTTGGCCATCAAAACCACAATTCGATTGCATCCCACTTGCTGATATGCCTCTCACATATTGCTGCATAAATGTGTCCCAAATGAGGCCGTTGGCATAAAAGCAAACTCAACTTGCTTGTGCGATATTACAAAATTCGCTAAGAATATGATGACTTCTTTATCTATAGAAAGAGAACAGAAAAGCTAATTTGAAGAAATTCCACCAATTTCAACATAATGATCAGCCAAATACATAGTTGAAGTAACATAGAAGCGATTGTCAATTGTTGATAGAAGAATCTTAAATGAGCTGCTTAAGTTAAACTAATATTATTTAGCAACAATTACTTAGTAAGTTCTCTTTCTTAGAAGGTAAGCAAGATTAGTTTAAGTTAAACTTGACCCCTTAAGCTAACGAAACAATGAGTGGCCTAAGCAAATTAATTCCTAGAACAATATAGAAAAGGACGGAGAAAGTTAGAGAGAAACATTTTTCTTAAGAGCTAGAAGAGAAAGTTAAAGAAAAGCAAGAGAAATAGGAAGAAAATCAAAAGAAATTCAAATTCATCCTTTTGAACTTGAGAAGTGAACAGTTCGGTGATTTAGAAAACCTTAAATGAGTTGCTTAAGTTAAACTAATATTGTATAGTTACAATTACTCAGTAAATTCTTTTTCTTAGAGGGTAAGTAATATTAGTTTGAGTTAAACTTGACTACATAAGCTAATGAAACAATTAGTGACCTAAGCTAAATAGTTCCTAGAACAAAATAGGGAAGGATGGTGAAAGTTAGAGAGAAATGTTCTTCTTGAGTGCTAGAAGAGAAATATAGAGAAAAGAAAGAGAAATATGAAGAAAATCAAAGGAAATTCAAATTCATTCTTTTGGACTTGAGAATTGAACACTTAAGTAATTTGAAAAACTATAAATGAGGTGCTTAAGTAAAACTAATATCGCTAAATTTGGGATTTTCAGTAAGGGGAGTCTTTGAAAAGACTAGCATTGCTCTGAAAAGCTTGTCCTGTGAACTGAGAGCCAAGCCAAAGCAATCCTTCTCTTTTTTTTTTGGTGGTGTGAGAGACGTTAACATAATCAACTACTTCAATGTCTTTCACAGTGATAATAACAGTTCCGTATCATCTTTCACAATCATTGCCAAATCCAACGTCGATGATGGTCACATAAAGCTTGAGCATTCATGTAATTTTTATCCCATTGTTTGTATTTTCATCCATTTAAAATCTTGGATAATATTTTCCATCTTTAATACGTGTCGACTAATGTACAAGGAAAGTTGACCAATTAAATGAATTTGAAGGTTAGGCTACATATTATGGAAAAAATTTGAGAAAAAAAAGAAGTAAAAAGAAGCTATTAATCAGCTTTTGTATCCCATTCAGTTAAGTTTGATCAGCTTAGCGTTCCTTACTTGATACAAAATTGCTCTTCTTGTGTTAGGTCCTACATATTCCTCAAGATATTCCTGCACAGCAGACGTAACATGAAACCCGTTAAGTTGTCACATGACCACGTAAAGCATGCAAGAACTATGTTCTTCGGGTCAGATCCCAAGAGTACACATAATTTCTGATGGATGACTGAGTTGAAAATCATGAAAGAATATTTCAGAGAGAGAGAGAGAGATGCTTCTGTTAAAAACAAAATTTTCCAAATCAACAATGACCAAGATGAAGAGCAGCACAATGAAAGACAAGATGAAGAACAACAATGACCTTTGAGTAATGGGTGTCCAAATCAACAGCTGCCCTCTGCTCAGGAGTTTTAGCCCTCAAGAAACGAATTGCAATGGATAATGTTTTCCGGTCAAGCTGCAAAGGAGTAAAGAGCATGAACATCAAATGGGGTAACTGGCTTCAATTGTAAAATAAATATTCTTGATCTTCTTCAACAACAAATAAACATTTGGTACACAATATGACTCTAAACAGAAGTTAAATTTATATTAATGCGAAAATTCCAAAAGGTGGGAGCCAAATGGTCACTCTGATGAATGATTCCATGCCTTTGAAGAAAAAAAAAAAAATCAATGAATTGAGATAACTTTTCTCATTCACTATTTGTTTGATATTTTCCACAAAAAAAATAAAATAATAAATAAAATAAAATCAATGGCATAAGCTACAATCAAACAACATTTCTATGAGTGCAAGATAATCAGGCTGTGGCGTCATGGTAATGACTACAAGCAAATATGAGAAATATATTCCAACGCACCACTGCCGGATTTGTAGTAGATTGAAAAGTATTGGAGTTTTGGAGGACTAATTTCTTACAAAAATGGGTCAAAAACAGCAGTCAATGAAGACTGTTTTAATTTAACCACTGTTACATGTTTGCAATCTATTGACTTTTTATGTTTGAGTAAACAGTGAGTTCTTTGTTTTAAACGCAGTTCACCTCATTATTTTAACCAATAAAAGTTAAGAATTTGGACCAACAAAATTATTTTCATTTTTTGGTAAGCTTTCACCTCGGTCTAGAAAGTCAAATAACCAAAGAACCTTCGTTGGATTACATGTCAGATAGCAGAATAAGCCCTCTTCGACCAGGTCTTCAAATTTTATTCAACTCTGTCTCAGTCTTTCTAGAAACTCACCCACCTCTCCAATTTGCTCCCCCATCTGTATATACCTACTACATCTCCTCCTCTTCCTCAGCAATCTCTCTCATATTAAACCTGCCTACACTTCTAGTCAAATTTTGTATCTATAGAGCAATCAATCCTTGAATTCACAATGTTGATATCGATTTTCAGTTCCTTCGATGCCCTCTGTGCTGAATCCTTTCGGCCAGAAAAAGGTCGGTCTTTCTTGGGCTCCTTCTACCAAAAATATTTTCATAATTTCTTTGGGACTCTCCCGGGCAGGTGTGGTCTAGGAAATAAAAATGAAAAATAATCCCTAGTAAATCATATAACTGCCACAAAAAATTAAGACTTTCATGCTCACAATATGCCATAATGCACACACAGGCAAATGTATTTACAAATTACAAATCATGACACAGGCAGCATATTTCATAAGGAAGTTGAGTTCATAGCTAAAATTTAGTGCTAGCAGAAAGGCAAATGCTAAGGACCAAACATTTTGGAGATCCAAATGATCAACATGTATATAAGAGAATAGTAAAGTTTGGCCATTTGAGAAAGAATATTTTATTGTATAGTTTAATTTTTTGACAAGGAGATTATGTGAACAAATATATTCCCAGCAAACACATTCAACAGAAAATAACTAAAATGCATGCACAACATAATGAAAAATTATTGATGAAATCTTAGTGTCTTATATAGATATGAACTCCGTGCTTGTTAATTGGGAATGTTTAAGAATCTGCACCACATCTGTACTTTAAAATTGTGTCCTTACCAGCAGTGAGCTGGTGGATTACAACATTAGGGTCTTTCTCAAATTTCAAAAAAATAAAATCACATAATTCGTGTCCATTTCATGGAACTCAAAATTTTATGGGCCACAGTTTATGTATATATCGCACGTAATCCGTGGCATGGATCCTAAAAATAAATGATACCTTTGGAAGACATTGATAACCTCCTCCAGTTACATTAAGTAGAGCCAAAGACAGAACTCTTTCTGGAACCATTGCTGCCAACTTACAAGATATCATAGCTCCTGTGCAATAAGAAAAGAAAAAGACAAAAAAGAAAAAAATGAGCCAAAAAGTCATTAACTCAAAAACAAATAAAATCTGGAACCAGCATTATGCATAATGAAAGGTCAAGTTGCAGTCATTATGCAATCGAATTAAAGATCAAATGAAAAATCATTGAACTTTGCATGCTAGGAATATTTTCATGTGGCAATGGCACAACATGAAGGCCCCATTTCAGTCATTGTAGACCAAATGGTAAAAATATTCATTTTTATTAAAGAGTAAGGCTAAAATTTTATCGGAGATAATACGAGTCATGGACTCACCCATTGAATGGCCAAAAACATGGGCTTTTCTCCAACCCAAATGATCCATTAGGGCTACTGCATCTTTTGCCATGATTGTTGTTCTGCACCCAAAAAAACATAGAACATTGATTGTAATTTCTTTTGAAAACTTAATCCACTGTTTGGTAGCTGGGAAACAATCTAAAACAACACCTCAACTAATTCCACTAGCTGTATTAGGCCCACTCAAGTGGAGATTTTTATATCTTCCAATCCCCACATAATCTAGACCACAAAATTTCCACTTTTTCCCCCACACATTTTCTCACCGACCAAACAAATCAAATATAGGTAAAAGGATAGGAGAGATCAACAATTTTGAATCTGTCTGGATTCTCAAAATGTAAATGGGGATTAATTTCAACAACAACATAAATAATAAACCAATTTAGGAAACAATCTAAAACACCACCTCAACTAATCCAACTAGCTGTATTAGACCCACCTAAGTGGAGATTTCTATTTCCTCCAATCCCACATAATCTAGACCATTCAATTTTCACTTTTTCCCAGCAGATTTTCTCACTGACCAAACAGACCCAAAAAAAGGCAAAAAGGACCAGACAGATCAACAATTTCGAAATCTATCTGGATTCTCAAAATGCAAATGAGGATTAATTTCAATAACCCAGAAAGCCATAACATAACACAAATAACAAACCAATTTAGGAAACAATCTAAAACACCACCTCAACTCATCCAACTAGCTGTATTAGGCTCAGTTAAGTGGAGACTTTTATTATTTCATCCAATCCCCACAAAATTTCCACTTTTCCCCCCCACAGATTTTCTCACCAACCAAACAGACTCAATAAAGGTAAAAAGGAAAGTAGAGATCAACGATTTCAAAATCTTTCTAGATTCTCAAAATGCAAATGAGAATTAATTTCAACAACCCAGAAAGCCATATCATAACATAACACAATAAATAAACCAATCAATCAACACCATATCACACAAAATTAATACTTTAATCATTAATGAGACTCACGCATAATCTGATTTTTTGGTGGGTACAGAGCTGCGACCCATTCCACGATTATCGAAAGCACACACCTCCACACCGCCGCTCTCATCATCTCCGTCACCACCAAGCTCCGCCGCCGCATCACGGTGGTCGACGGCGGCCATCAGTTGATCAACATTGGGAATCACGGTACCAGTGAGTCCCTCGATTTGTGGAAGCCATGAATCGTGGGTCCCAGCTAATCCTGATCACCAATCACAAAAATCATCAACTACCCATTAAAATGGATCCAAAACCCAATTCAGAAAACAAGAGATTTAATTAAAAGACAGAGAGATAATGATTATATAGTAGTTGTACCAATGATCATGAGGACTTTGATGGGTCCGTGGCCGTATGTTCTGTAGAAAATCTTGATTCCATTGTCAACGACTCCATCTTCGCCGCTCTGGTACGAGGCAACGTAACAGAACGGCATCTCTCTGCTCTCTGAGTTGTAGAGAGAGAGAGAGAGAGAGAGGGAGAGAGAGAGAAAGAAAGTTGGAGGAGAATGGGTGGAGAAGAGAATGAATCAAAATGAATTAGTGTTACTATTTAAAATACTACAAAATTTAATATACTTATTTTTGGTTTTTTTATTTTATTTTATTTTATCAAAGTGTGTTAAGATGAACAGTTAACCGTGTCTTTCATAGGAGAAATTATTCCATGGATCTCACCAGTATGTCTTACTAATGAAAATAATTAAAATGGGAAATAATAAAAATATAATTGCAAAAAAGTGATAACATTTATATAAACTACCTTATTCCCCCTAATTAAGCCCTCGTTTGGCAATGGGCTAAAATGAGATTAGTGACTTTTTTAGTTATAAAAAAATAAAATAAATTAAAAAATTAATAAGATAAAATATTACATTCAAATTATAATTATTTCATTTTTTATCTCATAAAAGTCAAAAAGTCAACCTATTTCTCAAACGAAGCCTAAAAATGCTAGAAATCTTAAATATTTTACTAATTTTTTTATCAAATACTCACATGGTTGTTGCTCAAATATTTTGTATTCCTAGCATTACTTGAAAATAATATATAAATAAAAAATCGGATGTACATAATCTGGATTGGATAAGCGCTATTGGAGCTGTAAGGCTCACCATAGATCCCATTTTAATAATTTAAATAATTTATGTTGTTAGACTTTTTGTGTATTTTATCTAAAAAAATATTATATCAATTCAATAATCGTAACTTATTCAATTTATTACGTTTGTCAAAAAAAAATTAATGACAATTGTGTTTTTGAAAATAAATTATTTATTTTTTTAGTAACAAACACGATAAATTGAATGTGATACGATTATTGAATTAATACAATTTGTTGTGTGAATAAAATATACAAAATACCTAACAAAATAAATAGTTTAGATTATCAAAATGAAATTAGAGAACCCACCTTAAAAAAAAAGTCACAATACATGAAGAAATTTTAAAAATTTCGTCAATGTGTTATTATTTTAATAAAATAATTAGGGTAAATTACAATTTTTTTGTGATTTAAAAAATTACAAATATTTACTTATCAGAATTTTTTATTTAATAAAATTAACTGAAAAAATAAAATTTTTAACCGCACTTCTATACAATAAAAAAATTACCTGAATTATTAATTAAAATAAAATTTTAATATTATTAAAACTTATTAATTAACTTGATGATTTATTAATAAAATGAGTTATTTGTTATGAAATTAAAAATCTCATGAGGTAGAATGTAATTTACAATTTTATAAAAAAATAATTTATATTTTAAACAAATTTTAAAAATGTATTCCTAATTTACCCAAATAACTATCAGTTTTTTCTAAATTTTATTATTTGGCATACTATATCAACATGATAAACGTGATATACTGAATAATTTCTTTCTTTAAAGAAGGTAGATATATAGACACGTGGCAGATAAGGAGTGGTGGTTGCCACGTAGATGGTCGGCTTTGGCTGCTGTTGAAAAACTCATAAAAGAAGTGGACCAGGCGAGGCGATTTGTTCATATATATGATGTTTTGTTTAGAAAAATAAAATTATAATTTAATTCATAATTAAAAAGTTGAAAATATTTTGTGAATTTGAAAAGGTAAATAGTTGAGAAATAAAACAAAAATTTATAATATTTTTTGGTAATAAAAAAATTATTATATATAGTTTTGAATTTTTTATTTTTTGTGTTTAGTTGTCTTTAATTAATTTTTCTTCTTCATATTTTAGTCTACATGTTTTAGGTTTTAGATGCATTTAAGTTAAATGTACTTAAAAAGTAAATAAAATTTATAAAATAATAATAAATCCAAAAAAAACGAAAAGAATATACTGAATTTTTGTAATTAATTAAATTTTAAAAGATTTTTTTATAAATATTTTACTTTTAAAATATATTTAGATTAAGTAAATCAAAAAAATAAAAATAAAATTTTAATTACAATATTTAAAAAGTTCACTAATCCATGATCCAAACACTCCCTACAAACAAAACACATAAAAAATTCAAAAACAATATTTGAAAATTAAAAACCAAACAAAATGTCATTTCATAGATTTGCATACATTTTTATATATTGCTATATATATACATATATTTATATATTCAATACACTTTTATACATACACAAACATTTTACACTGAGGTTTTAAAAAAAATTCAATATGTCCTACAAGTTTAGCATATTTTTACACTGAGCTTCCTTAAGATTTTTTTTATATAATATTTGACATTTTTTTTATTAGAAATTTATTAGTCGTATAAATGAAAAAATAATATTGTCATTTCTTTTATATTAAAATATACATTTTACATTGTGTATCGTTGTCTTTTTATATTATCTGTATTAGTTTTGGTTTCTTTAATTTTACTAAAATGGAGATATATGTAATCTATATAATACTAGTGTATGCCCGTGCTTGAAGGTACGGTATAAATAATGTTAGGACTAGAATATAATTGTAATCTCAACATTATTTAATAAATTATCAATTTAATATAATTGTAATCTCAACCTTTTTGTCTTATAAAAACAATACTATTCTTGGGAAAGGAAAGTAGACCCACATGGGTTGCCTCCCACTCCCTTTGTTTTTTCTTTTCTTCTTCTATTTCTTTTTGCTTTTGTTCTTTTTTGAGCAAAGAGTTCTGTCTCTCTTTTTCCTCTATGTCTCTCTCTTCTTATTTGAACTCCATTGTTGCTTAAATTTGAGCTTCGAATGGAAGTCATAACCCAGTTAATGAAAATCACAAACCCAAACCCAAATACATTACCGGTTCAAATATAGATCTGGTTATATGTCAGGTGGATAACAAGGTTCTTGGTGCTTGGATGGGTTTAATGAACAAATGACCCGTGAGAGCGAGAATGAGATGATTTAATTAATTGTAGAGGATGCGTTGTAATTAATTGTGGAGCATGGAATTCAAATAAAATGTATTAGATTAATTCAAAAAATAATGAGTTTGGAAGAATGAAATTCTAATAATAACAGTATAGAGCCCAATCTTAATGACCCATAAACAATCTAAAATAACCCTAAAAATATATATAACCTTGAAGCCTTAGGACTCTCAATGACCCACAAAGAACTGAAGAATTGAAGAAAAACCAATAAAGATAGCGAATTTTTAGAGAGAGAAATAAAGAGACAATATAAAATACCTTTGTTTTGGTGTCCAACTATTGAAGCCATTATCAGAAATAAAGACGACAGAGAAAGAAGGAAAGAAGCAGAAATTGAATGAAACACAACATAAAAAAACTTGAAACAATTCTCAAGCGGAAAAAAAAAAAACTAAAAACAATTCTCAATCTTACCTTGCGAGTGCGAGTTCGAAGGGAGTCGAGTTCGTGAACAGCGAAGAGGGAGGGTGTATGAATCTATAATAATTTAAACAACAAATTCAACCTAATCAACCAACAACTTCAAAATTCAATATTAAGAATTCCAAAATCTCGTTCAGGATTCAGAATTCAAACTACAAATCCAAACAACTAAACCTAATCAACAAATCCAAATAATTCAGGATTCAGAATTCAAACAACAAATCCAAATAATTTAAACAACAAATTCAACCCAATCAACCAACAAATTCAAAATTCAAAATTTAGAATTCAAACAATTCGAACAACTCAACATAGCGATGAAGAGTAGAGAAAGAAAAAAACACAACAACGATCAAGAGCAGTGAGTTCGAAGTCTTACCTTGCAAGTGCGAGTTCGAAGAGAGCTGAAGGATGAGCCGCATCGTTTGAATTGCAGTAAGGGAAATTCAACCTAAACAAATCTAGCCAAAAACAAAAACAATAGCTGAGTTCAAATCAACGACAATGACCGGAACACAAATGTATAAAAACAATCTTACCTTGCCAAGTGTCGGTAGCAAAAAGGGTGGGTGTTTTTCGGCGAGCTCTGTTGCGAGGATGAGAGGACTGAAGTAATGAAGGGGGATAAGGGAGCAAGAGATGAAGGAATTGAGGCTGTGGCTAGGAGAGATGAAGGAGGACAGGAATAGGAGGTTCAAGTTTGGGTCTCCGGTGAGGGAGAAGAGAAGTGGTTGGTGGTTGTCAGTGTCGCGACGGTGGTGATCGCCACAAGAGAGGTGGTCGGTGGTTGCGATAGCGGTAGTAGAAAGAAAATATCGTATGAAAGAGATAGGAGAAATAGAGGAAAGTTTTGAGAGAGAGATAGAGAAGGAAAGAGAAGGTGGGGAGATATGTGTTTTTGGTGGTTTTGTTCAAGAAGAAGAACAAAGAGGGAGAGAGAGATAAAGAGGGAATGGGGAGGAGACGTGAAAACAGAGAGGGAGAGAGAGAGATAAAGAGGGAATGAGGAGGAGACATGTGTAGGTAGGAAGGCTAAAGGAGAGAAATGTTTGGGCGGGAACCATCATTGATCTGAACCATTAATATAAATTTAAGATTCATCTCAGCCGTTCAAATGAAATTTATCTCTTAAACATGTTGAAACATTTTCAAAAACTATTATGTTTTATTATATAGATGGCATGACGGTTTTTGAAAATGTCTCAAAATGTATTAGAGATACATTTTGAATGAACGGTTTAGATTATTTCATCTAACAATTTAAGGATCAAGGTGATTTCTTTACTTTTGCTTTTTCTCCAAAATATATCTCTCTTTCTCTCTTTTTTTTGAGTCTTTTCACCTATCAACTCACCCATCCTCCCTCTTTTTTTGAGTTTTTTCCCAAATTTCAAGTGACTACTTTCTCCAATGCAATTAATAAGTCTTTAGTTTGTTTTTTAATTTTGTTTTTTTTGTTTTGTTTTTTGTGTATAAAATGAATTTGGACTTTTAAAAGTATCTCTTGGAACAAAGTTTGACTCTAGTTTTAAAAAAAAATTAAAAATATTGGTCAAATCACAACCAAAAAAAAAAAAATCTTAAAGTTTGACCATGATAATAAAGTAAATCTTGTTGTTTTATTTTTATTTTTAATTTAAACCCTTATTTTTTTAATATGAATTATTTGTCTATTTTTATTAAATAAAACCAACATAAAAAGTATATTTT